ATATTTTGGCTGTAGTACATAAAATTTTTAATTTGCAGAGTTTTGAGTCCAACAAGTACCTTGTTACCTAAGTTATTATTACAGCAGGTTTGGACTATGACATTAAAATGGGATGACCCCTTGCCAGACAGCAGTCAGAAAACTTTTCAGAAGTGGCAGGATGAAATTAAATATTTTGAGAAAATTAGTATTCCATGATATGAGAATTCAGAGTTGTATCTATTCGTTGATGCATGTAAGAGCTCTTATGGTGCATGTGTTTACATTAGAACTGTAACGCCCGTGAGTCAAAATTCGGTTTTTTCATAGCCTAATCCAGGGTTCCACCACTAAAACCTCTGACAATACCCCAGTTAGAATTGATGGCCTGTTGCATTGGCGCGAGACTGGTTCACTCAGTATATGCTGCCTTGGATTTGCCTGATTTGAAAATTATTGCATGTAGTGACTCTATGGTAGCACTCTGGTGGGTTAAGAACTGGGTGATTTGTCAGTTTTCGTTGCGAATAGAGTAAAAGAAATAAACAATCTGATTCCTTCTCAGTGTTGGTGCCATGTACTAGGTGATTTAAACCCGGCAAATATGCTTTCAAGAGGCAGTTCCCCTTGTTCATTTTCGAATTATCTTTGTTGGAAGGGTCCATTCTGGTTCCTGGAACCTATTAACAACTGGCCATTAGACCGTTTGGCTTACAAGACCTCTGCGGTAGAAAGAGAAAAAAGGAAGGGCAGATTATGTAACCTTAATTCAGTTGAAGGGAAAATACCTTGGTATGTCATTAGGTCCCAAACACATTATGTTTTGGCTACATGGGACTTGATGTCGAAAAGACAATTCTCAGAATCCGCACAATTCCAGGAAACACACGTAGCTAGGTTACAATTCTCACTTACTACAAAGACTTGAACGCCAAACAGTAATCGATTATCGCTCAAATCGGGATCACGTGATCCTTCAGAAGCAGAACTTTCTTCTGATTGGTTGTTTCTTCTGATTGGTTCTTCTGATTGGTGTCGAGACATTTTCAGTGAGGTTTCAAAAAATCCCGCATAGCCTCAACATTGCGTCCATAGCTAGGCGGGGCTCATTTTCCTAGGAATCCTCCCATTTAAACCAGTGCTACCAGAATCTCATTTCTCAGAAAGTCCCGTCTAGCAGGGACTGTAGCCATGTGTGATAACCTCTTTAGGTTTTCAGATTTTCAATTCATCATTCGATCAGTCTCATGGCTATTGCGGTTTGTGGAAAACAGAAAAAGTAAATGTGCATTTCGAGAGATTTGAGATTTAACCGTTCATGAGATGGAGTATGCTGAAGAAACTCTTATAAAAATTGTACAAAATAAGTATTTTCCCTCCGCCGACTCAATTCCCAATATGAGTATCGTTTCAGACAGAGAGGGTATAAAAAGGGTGAAAATGCACATAACAGAGCGATCAGATGACCCTGAATTTATTTGTCCAATTATTTTACCAGACCAGTGCATTTTCACCCATCGTCTGATCAAATATTATCATTTACGAAATTGTTACGCTGGAACCCAAATATTACTCGGAATATTAAGGGAGCGATTTTGGATAGTGAGGGGCAGAACAGCGGTCGTGAAAGTAGTGAGATGCAATCGGTACAAGGCCAAGTCTCCCGATTGTGAGCCGGTGTTTCTACCAGGCGATCGTGTCAATGACTCTGCGGTGTTCGAGGTGGTAGGGGGTGATTTGGCAGGACTCTTGTAACGTGAAAGGAGGTGGAAAAGTTTGGATTGTTTTGTTCACATGTTGCAATATATAGAGCTATTCATTCGTAATTGACTTCCTCATTGTCTACCGACGCATTCTTTTTGTAATTGAGACGATTAGTAGCCAGAAGGAAGAGGCCGAGAAAAATTTATCCCGACAATGGAACTAATTTTAGAGGAGCGCAAAGAGAACTTAGTAACATCGACTGGGAAAACATTTTGAGGCAAACGGCTATATAATGCATAATATGGAAGTTTAATCCTCCTACAGCAGCTTGGTAGGGCAGCTGGTGGGAGAGGTTAGTTTATGTAGTAAAGGAACTGTTGAGAAGGACACTTGGTAACGCTGTTCTTACTACCGAGGAGTTGTGCACAGTATTGTGCGACTGCGAGTCAATAATTAACTCTAGACCTCTTACCTATCTGTCCGAAAATTCGGATGATTTAATCCCACTTTTCCCAGCCATGTTTCATATCAAGAATTGTAGCTTAGGTGTTCCCAATGTTGATTTCTGCAATTCAAAAGGTCTTTGAAAAAGGGCTAGACATTGCCAAAAACTACTTAATGATTTAAGACATAGATTTAGGAAAGAATATTTAGGCCTTCTGGTCCAAAAAAAGAAGGGTCCATAATCAGAGCTACGGCTGGGTGAAATTGTCCTAATAGAAGATGATATGAAATAGCGGATGCACTGGCCTTTAGCGAAGGTCATTCGGCTAATTCCTGGGAAAGATGGAGAGGTGAGAGAATTGAAGACTCAAGCTGGTACGCTGCTTCGTCTCATTCAGCGAGTCTTTCCATTGGAAGTGCAGTTAACGGTCACCCCCACTGATCTCATACACGATAACTCCTTTACTTATCCTATTTCTTCTATTTCTAGTGATGAGTATTCAGATTCTAATTACTCTTCAAATGACTCTAGTAACATCCTGCAAGGTGCTAAAGTGTCAAGATTTGGACATGTGATGAAGGTGCCTCAGAAATTAGATCTCTTCGGCCAGGTACTGTATGTCTTGGAGCCAACTTAAAGTCGACTCAAAGAGGGGGAGAATGTAGGAGACAGCTGCTTCAGACAGATGATTACGTAACGGTTAGGCGGATTTGACAGAAGAGCCGCTTTTGATTGACTATTTTTTAATATTCTTGTTTTTTCTTTAACTGCGAACTAAGCGGGGAAATCCCTTCTTTCACTCAGTATATGTATGTACTAGTTAGAGTAATGTAATGTTTTCGCTTGTGAGTGATATCCATAATTAAATTTAATATTAATAATCCGTGCTGTGATTATTAAAATTTTTAACCTGCACATTGTAGCCCTGAGAGTTGTAAAAAGCATGTCATGTTCCCCATATGCTTCACACAGCAATTGATGCTCATCAGCTGCAGTTTTCATCAAATTAGAAAAGAAAAAAAAAAGTGTTTCCTGCAGATTTTGTTTTGCTGGTAAAAAGGTTGACAAGGGTTGATCACAAAGAAAGTTTTTTATTTATACTTCAGCGAAATGAAACAGGCTGAATTTTAGATGGAAATGCTGGCGCTTTAACATGAATATAGTTACAAGATTGTCCGATAGGATTTAATACTAGTAACGCCATCTTATGTAAATCCCTCAAAACTTATTTGTACACCCAATAGTAAGAATGAGGGAGTGTATCAGTGCTGTGCTCAAGTTGTCTTTTTTCCTGAGAGCTACCTACCATGTCATTGGATCAGATGTTGGATAGTGCCATATCGTAATTGATTACTGAGCTTCAGAAATCAGATGGAAAGTCAATATGCAGCCATTAAACCTCTAGCAATCAATGACATTATTTTGCAGTAATATCATTTATTTTTTTAAAAATTAAATTTTAATATTTGTATGAATTTTGTTTAGATAATTTTACTGAAATTATGATTAAAATTGTTGAATTTCTATTGTATAATGTAACATGAAAAACCTAGAGACGAGCTATGCCGAAAAAATAAGAATACAGGAGCATTTAGCATTGAGTAAATAGGTATCTCAGTTATTTGGCGAGATATTGCCAAGTTGGCAGCGGTTTTGGCAACTAATTTTTGTCGCCAAGTTTGGTGAGAAATCACCACAAGTCGCTAAACTTGGGGACATTTTGGTCCGGTCCATGTATTTCTGTAATAGGTATTATAACTGAATAAATGTGATTGATCGCTGTATTAGCTGTAACTGTAATTCAACCATCATATTGCCTTCCATTAATTTAGAGAAGCAGAAAGGACTAGTAATACCTCGGCAGCCAGGTGAAAACTATATAAGAGCATCTACTCCGGAGAAAGCATCTACTTTCAGTTATTGCTGTTAGCTCAGGGTGTATTTTGAGTATTAGCTCCAATGTAGCTTTGCTCTTTAGCTGCGCTTTGCTTGCATTGCGTTTAGCATTCAGTACTGATTGTATGCTGTGATGTTATGAAGAATGGTACGACTATTTTTATGGAAAGTTCCAGATCTCGTGTTTCTTTTGATAAAATAAATTTCACCAACCTATCATCGGAGCTGTGTGCATTTAATATATTGTGAACCCATATGCACATAACATTATTATTTGATAGATTAAAATGAGAAAGCTATTTGTTTAGTATCAGTTGTATATAAAATTAATCATTACCTCTCATTAAAAATTATGTTAACTCTTCTCTTTCTTTAAAATACAGAAAGGAAAGGTTTCCTAATCAAAAAGTAGATGAAAGGGTTACTTAAAGATAGAATTTTTTATCTATAATAATTTAGAAGTTGGTGCATAAAGTTGTTAGCAGCCATAGAGGCCATTTAACACGTTTTTATCTTGGGAAGCACAATTTCATGAGTCATCTGTACACCCATTCTTGATCACATTTGTGCCTTTTTTTCATTATTATGACAGTTAAGTTGATGAAAGAGGGGTAATCTGCTACTTATTGACATGAAAGCAAGCAAGAGCAAGAATGTTGTGTGTCCAAGATGAATACCTCGTTCAGAATGGTGTAGTTTTCGTTCTGCTTTTATCGCTGTTGTTTGCTAGAAGTTTTGGTTCCCAAAATTGAAATTATTATCGGCTGACCTGTAATGTAAGTATTTGTATCATTAGTATATAATGTGAGAAGTATGACAATCATGTGAGAAAGATTAATTTTGAAATGAAACATTGTATTTATTTTAAGGAGTTAACTATTATTTGGACAGAAAGAGAAAATAATCGAATTAAAAGGGAGAGTTAAGAGAATATTGCAAGTTACTATTTTAATTTTTTTTTTAATTTTATTATTAGGGCTACGACACATGCTGATATAGTCTTAAGAGCTGTTGAAAAAAATGTGCCATATAAAGTTGTGCATAATGCTTCTATCATGAACGCTGTTGGATGTTGTGGCTTACAAGTGAGTAATTATTTTATCTTAAAATTTGACAAGGCACATTCCATTTATAATTTTTGAAAGTTATTTTTGCATTTTAAAAATACATTTTCATATCAGTTATTGAATTATTTTTGTTCTTTTATTGTGATTCTTCAGGTAATGTATCTTAATTTTTTTAATTAAAATTAGAGATTAAAAAAATTAATAAATTTTTGTTGATAATAGTGAAAGAGGTAAGTTAACTTATTGCATGAAAAATCTGTAGTTGAATGAATTTTGGGTATATTGAATGAAACAAGTCAATTAATAAAGCTCATATTCAAATAAGACAAGTTTATTATAAACCATGCTTTTCCCTCCCTTTTTTTATGCTTGAAACATAGGCAAATACAGTCCTTAGTGTCATAATTATCCATCATTTATCATTTGTGTTTATAAAATGCATCTGCCATTAATTTCAAAACGCTGATTCTAATTTCAGCTGTACAGATTTGGTGAAACTGTTTCTATAGTATTCTGGACTGCTGATTGGAAACCAGAAAGTTTTTATGATAAGATTGCATCTAACAGAAATTGTGGTCTTCACACTTTATGTTTATTAGGTAATTTTAGGCATTTACTCATGTTTTCAGCTTGCCATTTTATTTAAGTGTAGTGAAAAAAGATTTGCATTAATGAATAGTGTATTTCTATCAAAAATTCTTTCTAAATCAGAATCAGCTCAGTTTAAGCATAGTATAAATGTGATCATCAATAAGAAGCAGTTTATGGCAACTGAATTAGTTTTAAAAATAACTATAATAATATTCAGAAAAAGGAACTAAATCTGCTCCAACCGTCTGTAATCACAAAGCTAATTAGGAGTTCTGCTATCAAAAATGTACTGGTGCTCAGCCAATAATTTACATAGTTGCCTTTAGACTCAAGGTAAATGTGTTAATCTCTTATCAGAAACTCCTATATATTGCTTTGCCATCATAAAAGGTATTTCAGAAAATAGAATTAATGTGTAGTGAAAAAATTGAAATTTAGTAAAAGTGTATTTAATGCAAATTTAATTATACAGAGATGTAAATGTATGTATAAATGCATTATTTACAGTTCAGAATATGCAGATAAAGAGATAATAAAAAATATATGTTAAATTTGTTTCTTATTCCTATTTAGAAAAAAGTAGTTACTGAATATTCAAATAGTACTAAAAATGTCTCAAGAAGATGTTTGGTGGGCTGGAAGCCTATCATTCTTACTTAGATGCTGCAACAGTACTGAATATCTTAATATAGTGAATTGACTATGACTGCCTTTTTTCAGCATGGCTTGGCTTCATCGTTTTGACCGATAAATGTAATGAACTCTTCTAACGATTGCTGTTTTCCTTTAAGACTAGAGGACATCATTAGGCAGCGGTTGTAGCAGCCAACAGCCGTATCAAGCTATGTTGTATAGGAAAAACTGCCATAGAAGTCTCATATGTAGCACAGTCATTGTGTTTGCCTAACTTCTCCCCCCCCCTCTAAAAAATCTAGATAGTTTTAAGATGTGATTGTCAACGTTACTTTAGAACTTAGATGGCTGAGTGCAATTTTTTTTTTTTTTTTTCATTTGTGAATTTCGATACAATTTCAGAATTTATTTAGTTATGTCTTCAGATAAAGAGAAGAAGGTAATAGTAAACATTTTGTCAAGTTAAGATACAGTAACACAGCGAACAAGTATTAATTTAGAAGTCAAACAACAAAAATCAGCGCAAAAAGAATTGAGCTTTTGCAACTGAGGATGATGATTCAGTAAAACCATCGAAAATAGTCCTGTGAAAATTTCAAAACATAATGCTGATTTTTGTTGTTTGACTTCTAAATTTTTTCAAGTATTCATGAAATGTCATTTGTCAGAAGAGTGGGTTTTTTCATTTCAGAAATATTATGACAAATCATATCACCAGTTTATGTTGTTTTTTGTGCAGAATCAGAGACCTGCCAGAAATATATAGGTACAACTTTGCATTTTTATATTGTTGTTAGTTTATATATCCTAATAGCAAAAGCATACTGTGTAATTGAACTCTTTTAGTAGATTAGTGCCTACAATCAGAAACATTGTTCAGATTCATTAGATGACATATTTACCTGATCAGAATCACAATGGGTTAATTAAGAATTTTATGAGGTTACTGACCTATATCATGGTCATGTATTTTTTATTAACATTATTTTTTAAAGCGTGGAAAATTGCTAATTTAAAAATAAGATAAATTTTTGGTATTGCTTTTTTAAATATATATCTGCAAAGCATTGGATAAACATCAGAAAAGAAATTCCCATATAAACTCTGACTATGCAAGCTTTTGCTAGTTATCCACTTTACAGTTAGATATTTATATGAAACTTAGTAATTTTTTAAAAGTAATGCATATAGGTGTATATTTCTTAAAGGCTGGTTTTTTTTTTTTTTTTTTTTTTTTTTTTTGTTTGTTTGTTACAGATATAAAGATAAAAGAGCAGTCTATTGAAACTAATAAGTAGTGTAGTTATTCTGTTAAGGAAAAAAAAAATTATTACAAAATTTTGAAATAACTTGTCAATGTTTTAAGAATATAAATTATAAAAACTAAGTAATTTTATTTCTGTTTGTCAGGATAATTCCTTTTGTGGCTTTGTTCAGATTATTCAAATGCTAAAATATTTCTGAATTGTAATTAAAGTATTCGTAACAGACATTATAGGTATTTTTACATTTTGGTCAAATATGATTATTATTACTATAAATTATTTTTGTTATCAAAATTGTAAAATAAAATTATTTAAGATTATTTGGTAATGCTCAAAGTTTAAAAACTTCTAGCATGCTTTATTAAGCAAAAAATTCATACAGAGGTGGTCCATGGTTTCATGGTGATGCTAGAAAAAGTATTTTTCTGATACACCCATTTATAGTTATAAGTGAAGCATGAAGATTGTAATGGTACATCTGATTTCAAGCACCCCTACAAAAAGTTCCCAGCTCATTGGCAACTTCATGCGTTCCTTGTTAAGAATAGTTGCAATTAACAGATTTTTCACTTAGTAATATTGATGGAATCTCAACATAATGAAAAGCATTTTTAAAACTGCATCATCTTATGAAAATTTAGCTTTCATGTTATTTTTCCTCTTTCCCAGTTCCATATTTAAAGACCTTGTTCCAGATACAAACTCTGGGGTATATACAGTAATCATTGTCAGTATAGTTCAATATATATTGGTCAAACTAAGAGAATACTGAAATTTTGCACTAAGAGTCTTTTAAGAATTGGCAACACTTTACATTAATTTTTCTCATCACAAAGTAGTAATTATGTTCTTCATGTAATAAATGCTTTCTTATGTTTACTAAGAATTTTATGATTCATACATTAATTTGTATTATACCTTCTTTTAACACTTCCAGACTAATTTTCATTAAGCCTTTTTTTGTGTGAAAAGAGTAAATGTTGATTTTTTTTTTATGACAGGGTGACAGGTTAAGTTTAAAATTAGATCAGTTCATTTAATTTAATCATAGATGGTAAGAATATAGAGTTGTTAATGCCAACACTAAATGTTTATCTAATACTCATGCTCCTAACATTGATACTTTGACATCAAATATTACTGGCAATTACCAGGTTGACAAAATTTTAAGCCATTATCAAAAACCAGTAAACTGACTTTGGCCTATTAATGTTTTAACAGCTACATTATGTCTACCACCTTATCAAAACCAATGTCCTGCCTGTTTTCTCAAAACCTCGATGGCTTGCATCTGATAGACTTCAAGCAGTCCATAAAGATTTTGCATAACTTATATCTCAAGGTATCATCCATCTATCTAAAGCCTCTTGCATGTTGTTAAATAAGCAAATAATAAATTTCATTCTTATGGTGATTACCGTTGTCTCAACTCGGTTGTGGTACCGGACTATTAACCTGTAACCCATAGTTGTCGAAATTGCATCTAAAATCAACATAATGAATAAATTTTGGTTAATCTTTGGATTATGGTAACCTGGCGATTTTTTGCGAAAATTTGGCAACCAACCCTGCTACAGCAACCTCAGTTTTTTTTTCAGCGCCATTTTGTCTTCACGAAGTAAAGACATCATGTTTCTTTTTTTTTTTTATTTACTCAACATTTTTTCGAACAATCTGCTAGCCGAATTACGCTTATGCTAGAAATTTTATGGAAGTGCTTAATCATGACGAATATTAAGTGCAAAATTGGGAGAAAGTGCAGAATCGCAAACTCCTTGCCGCGTTTTTAAGAATTTTGCATACACGGTAACCATGTACACGTCAACCTATTTTCACTTAAAAAAACATCCCAGAATTGCACAAAAATGGCATTGCGCACACTCTTGACTCTTGATCCATGTACACTGCTTTTTTCTCATAAATTAGAAAAATTTACAGGAAAATTTTGTGAATCTTTAAAGTCGGTAAAAAGGACATATATGAAATTACCTGATCGAGAAGAAGTATGTATACCTGATCGCAAAAAAGTATATACCCTTTCCAAGGATGAACATTTGCACGTATAAAATAATAAAATATCCAAAAACTTTTCCCTCTAAATTATAAACGTCACCTGTGAATTTATAAGGCAAACATTAAAAATAATTGCAAATACTTAGTGTCAAATATTTAACTTATTTCCATGCACGTTTACTTCTACTGAAATGTATTCCAAAAATGCTACAAACACATAATTTAACAAAATCACTATCATTTAATTAAAATATAATTAAATTAAAAAAATACTAGTTAAAATATAAATAAACACATACATTAATTTAATAAAAATTAGCTTAAAATCTTAATTACTTTAAACTAATTTATTGCTAATAAAAATTTTCCAATAATAGCAAATTAATTTATTTATTCCTTATATTTAGAGAAATGCATAAAAATAATATCCTCAAATGATTAAAAATACTAACTTACGTAATCTACATAATCTTGAGTGCATGGCGGATAACAAAATGTCCATTTTCACCAGATTTCTTGCACTGCCATTCAAACTTATCTGTAATATCCTTCCTTTCACACAATCTCATTTCATTCCCGCATGTTGGACATTCATACTTATCCGCAATTAATCCTACACTCATACACCATTCAAGTAACTCTTTTGGATTATCACATAAACGCAATAAAAATTTCGAATTTACTTTACATAGGGCCATGGGATCCAAATATTAAGCAACACTGTTTCACATAACATAGAATGAAGCTAAATACAAAATGCTATAAAGTACTGCAGATATTTTTGCAAATTTCCCCCCTTTTCCGATTAAAGAACTGTGATTCGTCCATAAATGTCGCATGACATATCTCATGATCTCTCATTTCTCTCAGACAAAATAATCCATAATTGGAACTGAGTACTTCACATGTTATTGCCAAAGTTCTAGGTAGTAACCTTTATCGCCAACCAAAATGTCGCCAAACTGCCTGTTATCATATTCCAAAGATTAGCCTAAATTTTTTCCACCCTTGATTTAACTAAGGCAGGGTTCGTACAGTCTTTAAGAGCCCCTAAAAGTCCTTAATTTTGCCCCAAATCATGAAAGGTCTTTAATTTT